GGACAATTATAGATGATATCTGACAGTAATTAAACACTTCGATGCAAATCTGTAAATAGTGTTTAACTTTAAGAAATCGATGGATCATTTCAAAAGCATCATTAACTCTAATTTTCTTAATTATACTCTGATAAGTAGTTATTTGATTTATACGTATAATATACGAATACATATTTATTATAGAAATTAAATCGATATTTAATAACGTGTAATGTAATTTTTATGGAGAAATTATAAAAAATTATTGTAGTTATATCCCTTATGGTTAACGTGTATAATGATTGAAGAAATTGATGCTACACTAAGAAAAAATTGTTTATTACTTGTGAATAAATTATTGGGATACAAGCAATTTTTATGAGAGATACAAAATATAATTCACCAATCCCACTTTTGAGCCGATTTCAAATCTGCAATTAGATTTTATCTATCACCTGGTTTTTGAGATTGCTTAAGATATTTTAGATTAAAAAACGGGTAATTACTTAAAAAAAATATATATTAAAAACAAAAAAAAATTTTTCCCAAATATTTTTGTATTTGATTTTGATATGTATAAAATAATCCGATCAAAATTTTGATAAAATGTAATTTTAATATAATTTTTTTATCTTTTAGAGTTGATTTTTACATAAGTTTATAGTAAAAAAAGTTAAACTTTTTGAATTTTTTAACGGTAACTTTCTTTTAGCTTAACTTGTAAATTTGATATTAATATCATTAAATAGAAATGTTTATGAGAATTATAAAAATAGTTGTGTTAAGATTAACATGCAGTTAGGAAATTTTTTAATTAAAATGTATAGTAGATTTATGAGAAAAGATCAACATTTCGTTAAAATCGTACGTTCTATGTGAAACTAAAACTGAATGGACTTGATCGTCGTGATCAGACTTAATATTTAAGATCTTTTTCGGGAATAATTGTACAATTTGATCAGGCGGAGTTACTACAAGAATTTTTAGGGTTAAAAAATCCTAAACAATCATAATAAGTGTTAAGAATTTTTAACGATTTAAAATACAATAGATTAACAATTGTATTTCAAATCGGTAAGTTTCTCATTTTACCAATGTACATGATTATTACAATCATTCATAGACTAAGATCTATTAGTTTTAATAGATGCTAACAAAAAAAAAAACAAGACATTGAAAACTCGATCCAATTCTTTTTGGATTGATCTAACACAAAGATAGAGTTTCGTACATGGAATAAATAATAACAAAATCCTTCTAATTAATATAGCTAATATTTATGTCTGATTATTAGGTTACGTATGAATAATTAATAAATGTATTTTAAAATACGTAATAGATAGAATGTATTATGTGCATTGTATCACTATAAATAATTTTTGAATATTTAATAAATAAATTGAGTTTTTAATATTTCAATTGTAACATCTATTTAGACACTAATAGTTACATAGATATGAATACTAAGACTTTTATTTAAATAAACTATTACGATACAAAAAAAATAATGGCTTTAATGAAATTTTGAAATGTTCTATAGATTTACTGTTAATAGTAATTATATAAGTTCTTGATCACATGTCAAATATTTTTTTAATTCCTTATAAAACTTTCTTTTTGATTATGACAATTCTTAACTTACAAGTAGAGCTAAAATAGTGTTCAAAAATTCAAGTTTTTCAGCTTCGATGCGAAGCTATATTAAAGCAAATTTTTGAAAATATTCCGGAAATATTGATACTTTTATTTAATCTTAAATTACAGCTTATATTATATACTTTACTATGAAAAATAAAAAATCGAAATATACATTTTCTTCTTGGTGAAAATGGCAACCGTATTAAAAAATATGCTATTTTTGTGTTAAAATTCTAGGTTTTGTATTTTATTTTATTTTAAAATATTTTAAGATGAGAGAAAATAGACTTAGATGGTTTGGTCATGTTATGAGGAGAGAAGAATCGGAAGCTGTAAGAACAGTTATAGAAATGAATGTTGAAGGAAGGAGAGGTAGAGGAAGACCAAAAAAGAGATGGATGGATGTTATTGAATGCTATTTGAGGACAGCTGATGTGAGCGTAAATGATGTGGAAGATTAGGATAAGGGTAGTCGACCAACAGTAGTTGGGATTATGGCGAGGAAGAAGAAGATTTTACAAGGGGAATACTTAGACTTTCAAAAATTATTTTTGCATAGTTAAATTTAGTATACATTCTTATTTCTACCATTTAAATGGTTTTATTCAGATATCCAAAATAAAGTGAATAATTTTAGATATTAATAGTTAACTAGGCTAGCTGGGACTCTACAAAAAATATTACATCAGAATCAGTGTAACAAAAGTTTATTAAAAATGTTGACACGGTACCGTGTTTCCCTCAGCCGCACATCACGTTATCAACCTAAATGAAAGTGTATCAGGATCTGAATCATAAGTGCACTGTGACCTAGTGGTAAGGTTAGTCTATACGACGCTTAGGGTCGCGGGTTCTAATCTCGTACCGTACCTTATTTCTTACATGATTTCCGGTACACTTTCTAAAACCGGCCGTCAATCGCCGGCGGCCGTGTTAATGTTATTATTAAAATCAGGAAAATTCAAACAGAGAATATAATAAAGTTTATTGGGTATAAGGTTAACGTTGTTTGTTTACGGTTTGTTAATGAGGTATTCCCTTTAGGCCTATTCAAAAATTATTTTTGGAGGGTATTTAATATTTTTTACTTTGTTAAACATGTTATGGAATTTTTTTTACTAAAAATCAAAGTACTTTCGATGAAAAAAAAAATTTTGAAAATCCGAGCACGCTAAATAATTTTTCCAGAAAAACGTTTTTTTCCTTGTTCTATTATATAATAAGATACTATTTGGGTATTTAAGTTAAACTAGATGTTAAAAACAATAATTATAATTTCTTTTTGATAAATTGTTAAATTCGATTGGCATTTAAGGATTTAAGAAGGACTTGATTTAAAATCATAAAAAATATTTGTCAAATTTTTAATTGATTATTCTTTGTCACATCAGATGGCAAATGAATGTTATTTTTAATTATAAACTTTCATAAAAATCTGCTTTAAAGGATCAAAAAAATAAGTTACAATGACATTTGGAACTGAAATTTTGCACAGGTTATTTTTAACAAATTAAAAATCAATAATAACTTGATTCGACAGGAGGGATTCGAACCTCAATAAAAAAAAAAAAATTTCTAACAACATTTTTGTTACAGATTGCCCTATTTGTTTTGATCCAGTACAAGTAAATAATTATATAGTCACCAAATGTTGTAAACGCATATTTTGCAGAGGTTGTTGGAATCATATGGGAATGATCTCAGAAACATTTTCCTGTCCCTTGTGTCGTAGTTATGACCATTCGGGTAAGTTCTATCTAATTTTAATTTAGTTTAATATAAAGTCTAATTGTTCTAGTACATGTAACCTGAACAATATAATGTATTGAAAAATGTTATTCATGACAAAAAATTTCGTATAGAATAATTTTTTTTTACGTATACAATTACATTTCTCTGAAAATAATAACAATATGAAGAATATTACTTTTTTTATTTTATATTATTTTAGAAAATAATACTACCTACATAAATCAATATGAAATTCTAAATCTTGCATGATTTAATTGAAAAAAAAAGTGTTGATTACATTTTGTAAACACTGTTTAAACGTAAATCATCAAACATATTACTAAGAATGCTTTATTTCTTGCTAATCACTGAAAAAATTAATTCCATAGGTTTGATTTTTTAAGTGTGAATTTTATATCGTAATTAATAAATTTACATACAACTAATAAGGTATATTAAATTTTAGAAAGTAAAAACAATGTTTTCCTCATTTTCCCTTTTTTCACAATAATTGTTTTTCTATTGCTAATTTTATTTATTTGCATAAATTATAATAGGAGATCGTTTTGGTTTATATCAATATATTTAATTGATTAATATAATTAAATAAATTTTATTAGTTGCATCAAATAAATAAACCTAATATTTAACTGTATATTTTATATGTTATGATTTATGCGTTATATATATTTTTTTACAGGTACATGTATGTATACAATTTTTGACAATCATATAAAAAATAAAAACTAAATAAGACAAAAGTAAAAAAAAATTATAAAAAATTATTTAATTACTATGACTTTGCATGTATGGGGAGCATAGTTTTACTATCTATTGTTATGCGGGGGACACGTGATTTAAAGTAGGCGATAGAAATAAATGAATTCGGGCTTATTTTTATTTAATGGGTGTAATAATTTAATATAATAATATAAAATACAATTTAATCGACACAAAATATAACATAGAAAATGACATAGTATTATGAGCTAGAATAGGATTCAGATATACTCTCTAGGTAGGCTTATACTACGACGGCTATTTCTTACTTTAGAACGTAGGGTACGAGTGGCTGGAACTAGAATAAGATTTAAATTAGATCTTAAATGAGTCAGTGGTCCATAATCGTTATTACTTGAAAATTTATTGTTTCAATTGGGTACCCCTTTGTACTGAAATGAGGTTCAATGATTTTGATTAAAGTATAACACAGTAAATTTGAAATAATTAGAAAGTGACTAAATAATAAAAGAGCATTGTGATCTACATTTTTTTATAATTTAAAATAAAATGTATGAAAAATCATACAAAATATTTTTGAAAATATGTATTCTAAATAAATTAAACAAAATTATAGGGTATCTGATTGAAACAAGTTGTTGCTAGTAAATTTCGTAACAATGGAAATATCTATGTTATTAGAATTTATTAATTAATGAACATTTCCCAAAAAATTCATATTTTTAACATTTTCTATTCAATTAAAATTTTTGCGTTAGTTAATTATAAATATTTTACATTATTATAGATAATTTTTCTGGCAATTTGTTTGCTTGTTTACTTTGTCAGTATGACATTAAAATTAAAATAAGAAAGAACTTTAAAACCTCTTAACTATATATTTTTTTCTAAAATTAAAATTATTAATAAATACATGTAAATTTTCAAACATCTATTGTTATTTGAAGTATGTATTTCTTGCAAATCATCAATGGACGATAACGAAAAATTTCAGTACATAACAAAATGTTGTAATAAACGATTGTGTGATTATTGTCAAGGATTTTGGGAAAATAATTCAACATGTGTTGAATGTAAAAAAACTCACAAAACAGGTATTATTCTTTCATATAGATAATACACATATAATTAAAAAGATTTAAATGTGTATTTCAACCGCGCTCAATACCACAGACACTGAATACATACTTATCCTAATATTGGTGTCAAACAATCAATTTTTATAAAAAAAATACAAAAAATCAAATTTTTTTAGTAACAAATAATATAAAAGTATACTTCTAACAATGAACAAAACTGTAAAAATTATTTTAAAAAATGGTAACACAAATTATTCACTGGATCAAAAATGTTGGATTTGTCAAACATCCTTTCCATATTATATTTATAGATTTATCTGTTACCAATAAGTTTTTAAATTCATCTCTTTTATTTTATAAGGGTATTAATATTTTTCGAAGGCAACTTACACATTTAGCTAGCTTCATTATTAGATACTAATAAAATTAAAAAGAAAAACCCAGCACAGTATGGTCGAGTGTCAGTAGGGACGTGGCATAGTTGGATCAAGGATAATGATATATGACAGTGATTAAAATCACTATCATAAAATACACTTCGATGCAAATCAGTAGATAGTGAGTAACAAAATTTAAAGTGTTCACCATAGAAGTCTTTCAGTGAGTTTAGTCAATTGGCTATAAGACACTTAACACATTAATCATTTGGACACTATTTTTTTATTCTATACGAATTAAAAAATTAAAACATAGAACGTCTTCATTTTAAATAGCAAACGAAACTAATACAACAAATAAGATAACTATTTCATTTATTTACAAAACATTTTTATTGAGGTGATCCAACTCTGTCTTCTCTGTTTCATTTAATTTTCCGCTTCACAGAACTCAGCCCGTTTAAAAGGCTATTAAATGGTTCTTGGTTACAATGATGACCCAAGTAACTTAATTTTCACGTCCAAATGATATATACGACAAATCAATTGGTCGACGATTGCGACAACTTTTTGAATTCCCAATCACTAAATGACCGCCAAGTTTAGTGAGTATCAGAATTTTCATTTTGTGAAAGGAATGGCAAAAAAATATATTAAGCTAATTATTTTTAACCATAAAAACAACCATCAACAATAACAACTGATTACACCGTAAAGCCCTGTTAACAAACCGGCATATGTGTTGACCACCACCTAACATAGTATACTTGAATGCTCGATACAGTGATCAGTGCCGGCGCAAAGTTATTCGGGGCCCGGGCCAAGTTAGCCATGAGGGGCCCCAGTAGTAGTCTCTATTTCTGGGTTGAAATTTTAGTTCCGACGCGAAGCTGGGAAGTTATTGGTTTAACTATGATGTGTTTTTTTTTTGTGTCTGTTATCACTTTTTCTCAGCTCTCACCAAACCCATTTCTTTCAATTATACGTCAAAAAATCACAAATCGTATCTAGTCGAAGACATTATCCTCAAAAATTGAAAAAAATGTCCTCGTTTCTCGTAAATGGGGGAAATCTCCAAAAAAATTACAAATTTTGAAAATCGCTAATTTTCAAAATTGTTCAATTTTTTTTACTTAACATTGCCATAACTTCTTTAAAAATTACGAAATCAATATAATTTTTTTTTATAGATGCTTGATATCTTTACCTATCATTTGGTATATTTTTTTTTATATCTGACCCTTTACCTGTCCACAGGGGGGGATTTAAAATGACAACTTTTTCACAAAAAATTAACTTTTTCAACTTAAATTTTGAAAGTGTTCTGGAAAGTCTGACACTTTTATATATATCTTAAATTTAATTTAATGTAATATACTTTACTATGAAATAAAAAAAATTCGGACATTATTTTATCTTCATGGTGAAAATGGCTACCAAATGCTATTTTTGTGTGAAAATTCTCGATTTTGTATTTTATATTTTTAACTTTATAATGCTATAACTTATTGAAAAGTGTATGGATCAACACAATTTTTTTATGAGATATAATATTTTTTAATAATCTCATTTTCATTCATGATATTAATAAGGAAATATCAGATCATGTAGCTTTTGGAATAATCCACCAATTTTTTTAAATTAAACACTATCTAAAGATTTGCATCGAAGCGTTTTTTTTTTATAGTGATTTTAATCACTGTCAGATATCATTATACTTGATCCAACTAAGCTACGTCACCACTGTGCCGCGACCCCCTGTCCTGGGTTTTTTTTTTTTTGCTCAACCGACAAAAAAGTAGATATGCTAAAGACAAATTAAACAAAGCCAATTGTGGGGCCCGGGCTAGGTGCCCCGCTTGCCCCGACGCTTGCTCCGACACTGCTACTGATGTCCGTTGTTTGACGGCGTCAGCATAAAGTAATGACAGTTATTTATTAAAAGAAATTTCTAGAACGCTTAATGCATTCTTTATGTACGTAAAGTCCTATTTTTCACGATTTGTTTTTAATAAAAAAAATAAATAAAACATTATTTTTTAATTTAAAATTTTAAAATAACCAGTTTTTAGATATTTTTTTAAAGGATGATTAATGAATCGATTAGTACCAGTAATTATTCAACTACAATAATTTCAATACGTGTATATTATTTATGTGTACATCGGGTGTGGGGTATGCATTGAAATATATTTCAAAATTACCAATACGAGCTGTACCCAGTAGGTTGAGTAGTCAATTCTGTATAGTTATATTCTATAGCATTCAATAATATACTGATATCCATAAATATTCCGTGTTTAACTTAGATTAGAGACGCGGATATGACACTATTTATTATTAGACATTGCTTGACTTCTTAGCATTCTTAGCAGCCTAGGTTCAAAATGATTAATAACTTTCAAAGTATTAAAGTTGTCATATATCAGTTATTTTTTTAAGTAGATCAGTATCTAATAAATAAGCTAGTTAAATATGAATGTAATCATTCAAAAAATGAAGTTACATTTGCTTTTTACTTTCTCACAATACATAAAAGATGAATAAAAAAAGTATTTAATAATTAAAAAATCCAGTAATATAACAAAAAAAAACCAAAAAGAAATAATCCCATAATAATTTTTATTTTGCAAGTAATTGAGTGAGATGTAATAAATGGATCACTTTTATTTTCTAATATGATTTTTCGATAACATTTTAAAATTATTTTTGTTTAGATTATAATCCTATTCTAAAAATCAAAATGAAGCTACCTTGCGTTATTTGTACTCAAAATATTGGAAAATATAGTTATGATGATCAATGCAATGAGTTATATTGTAAAGAATGCTTCGCTCGAGCAGTTCAACTATCCAATCGTTGTGGTTTCTGTCATACATTATATTCAAAAAATATAACTCCCATTATAAAAATGTTCTAATAATTTTGAATATTTTTAATTAAAAATATGTGAAATATTTTATTAGATTTTGTATTTCAACATAAGCATAATCATTGATTATTAAACATATAACTAATATTATAAACTGAAAATTTCATGTTTTTGATTAAATAAATTTGAATTATTTAATAAAATTATGTATTTACTTCTACCACATACAAATGACACAAACAATGTTTGAAAATGTAAAATAAACACAAAGAAAAACATTTGTTTATAAACTTAAAATTAGAGTTTTGTAATTAGGTAATGAAATGTAATTAAAAACGATATTGAATAATATAAAAAGACAAAATCAAAATGTATTTTCAAGTAATTAAAAATAAATGTTGTAATTATTAAAACCACCTAATGACGATAAATAAAAATATGAGTAGTCTACTAGGAAAATTCCAATACCTTGATGAGCCTTCCACCTTTGAATTTCAATTAAGAAATTTAATTTTCAATCAGAATTAAAATTTTATAATTTTACTCGTTTAGTATCATATCAAATTGTTTGTATAATTCACACCATTGTACAATGTAAACTGTAAATTAATATGTAATATTTAAATATCAAACTTATGCCTGTTTGTACGATTGTCTTCGAGTAATAAATATTTAACAATATTCTCAAATTAAATCCAGTTCAATTAACTTTGAATATAAACATTAAAACAAGATAACAATATCTCATTATTGATGTACGTACTTAATGATATGTATAATAAGTCAAGATATCTTTACATATAAATCTTGCAGCGGCTTTAATTTCATTATGACTGTCAACTCTAATTGTACTACTATCATTGATTGTGCAAGACAAGTCATCGTTATAACTTTTTTACGTTCCTGTTTCGTGACAATACTCGTTAGATTTCGTTTGTTCGAACACACCGAATCCAAGTAAAATCTTGCATCCACCGTATTTTTAGCTTCGATGCGAAGCTAAAATCGCTAATTTTCGAAATTTTTTCACTTTTTTTTCTTAAAACTTCCATAACTTTTTGAAAAAACAACAAACCAACATAAATTTTTTTTATACTAAAACCTTAGATATCTACCTTTCATTTGATATCTTTTTTTTGAAAATCTATCATTTAACCTGCTCATTAGGGGGGATTTAAAGTAGTAACTTTTTTACAAAAATTAACTTTTTCAACTTAATTTTTGAAAATGTTCCGGAAATACTGCGTCCTTCAAACATATATCAAATTAAAGCTTATTTTATGTTCTACAAAATGAAAAAAAAAAATTTGTCCCGACACTTTTTCTTCTACATTTAAACGGCTGCCGTAGTTAAAAAAACACTATTTTTGTGTTAAAATTTTCGATTTTCGATTTTAAATTTTCAACTTAAAAATGCTATAACTTTTTGAAAAATGTATATATCAGCACAAATTTTTTTTTTCTAAATACATTATAAGTACATCTTTCATTTGACATACTTTTTATTAAAATTGGACAATTTCCCCTTATATAGGGGGCGTTCAAAACTTAAAATATTGTAAAAAACATAGATCTTTTTCAACTGAACTTTTGAAAATGTTCCGGAAATACTGCGTCCTTTAAACATATATCAAATCAAAGGTTATGTTATATACTATCAAATGAAAAAAAAAAATTTGTCCCGACATCTTATCTTCTATGTGCAAATGGCTGTCGAAAATTTAAAAAAAAATGTAATGTTTGCGATAAAAATTACATTTTATCGGGATGTTTTTTGTACTTAAAACTGCCATAACTTTTTCAAAAATGAACAAATAAAAATAATATTTTTTTGTATTGAAACCTTAGATATTTCCCTTTCATTTGATATAATTTTTTTTGAAAATCTAACACTTATTCTGCTCACTGGGAGGATTTAAAATAGTAACTTTTTTACAAAAAATAACTTTTTCAACTTAATTTTTGAAAATGTTCCGGAAATACTGCGTCCTTTAAACATATATAAAATTAAAGCTTATTTTATGTACTACAAAATGAAAAAAAAAAATTTGTCCCGACGATCTATCTTCTATACGCAAATGGCTACCATATTGAAAAATATACTATTTTTGTATGATAATTATGGGTTTTGTATTTTATTTTAATAGAAGTTGATGTTGCTTTTGCAATTATCCATCAATTTTTTAAAATTAAACACTATCTACAGATTTGCATCGAAGCGTTTCTTATGATAGTGATTTTAATCACTGTCAGATTAAATCTATACTGAACCCAACTATGCAATGTCTCCACTATGCCGCGACTCTACTGTGCTACCGTTTTATTTCACTGGTGTTTATTATATTACCACTATTAGCAACTTATTTTCATATGGTTTACGTTGGACCATAGTTGTGTAACCTTTGTGATTCTTTGCATCCATATTAAAATCGCCTTGCGGTTCGTATGCACAGAGGTGTATAAATGTGCCTGTATATCATTCTCATGGTCCCTGTTTTAATGTCAAGTCAGAACCACCACAAGCCTTCGATAATCGGTAAGTAAATATTTGATAAGTTATGTTTTTAATCTATCTCGCACTGTGGCTTTTAGATATTAAGTGGCCCCCTCACCAATGCTATAATATCTTATATTCGTTTGCTATCCTAAATTCCTATACAGTACACTTTAATTTACAACTTTATATTTCATGATATCAATGATCATATTAATATAAAAAATATTAAAAATAAACTTTGTTTTTAATTGCAAACGGCTCAACCATTATTAATAAAATAAATGAAAACTTCTTTACAATACTAAAGGCCTGCCCTTGTCGTTGCAAGTCTGGTTCGTCATTCTTCTCTGTTAAAAGCTAGTCTCTTCATGTTTATGTATCGACCACAATCAACTTACCTTATCATTTCTTCTATATATGCTTTTTTCAGTCTGCCTCTACCTTTTTGTTCATTTATTCGTCCTTCAAATATATTTTTCATAAACGAAATGTACCTCAGTAGGTGACCAGACATTATTACACTTCTTTCTTTTATGGTGTTTAACAGATTCCTTTTTTCCCCTATTTGGGAATAAATTTATTTGCTGAACCCTCTATATAAATAATTAACTTATAAAAAAGTTTACAAAATTGTAAAGTTACATAAGTTTAAATTATTCTGAAATATAACAAATTCGCATCGAAGTTATTGAATGAACAGGTTATGTAATAATAAAACTTATAAGTCATTTGTAATATAATGGTATATAATATAAAGAGACGTACAACGGCAACTAGTCGCCTGACTCGACAGACTATAAGCGATGACTAAAATAATAAAAATTATACTTATAGTAGTATTATACAAACTACGACACCCGTAAGAGAAATGTGGCTCTTCAAACTTTGTACTATAATAATAAATATGAACATACATTCTAAACTATGTGTTATCTTAAATACATACAAATTAAATTACTGTACTTAGTGTGTTGTTTAATTATATCAACACTTCCCCTTAAACATGCACCCTTAATTAATTAATTTTAATTATATATATATATATCTTCTTCTTCTATTTTCTCGCCTTAATCCCAATTACTTGGGGTCGGCCACCCTTTATCTAAACTTCCACTTGTCACGATCTCCAACATCCTCTACGCTCATATCAGATATCCTCATATCGCATTCAATAACATCTCTCTATCTCTTTTTTGGTCTTCCTCTACCTCTACTTCCTTCAACATTCATTTCTACAACTGTTTTAACGGCTTCCGATTCTTCTCTTCTCAAAACATGACCAAACTATCTAAGTCTATTTTCTCTCATATTATATTACCTATACTCCCTCCTATATGCTCATTTCTTATCTTATTTTTTCTAGTCACTCCACTCATCCATCTAAGCATTCTCAATGCTTAGATAATTATATATTATATATATATATATGCATTTAATTCCTAACATTTTCCCAAGGTCATGAAATCTTGTCCATAGCTTTAGCTTGAATTCTGAATTTTTGACCAGTATAATGGCCTTTTTATATGCATACAAAATAGTTGTTTCTCCCTGTATCTCCAGAAAATCACTTGTCAGTAGCATCAACCAAGTTGGTTCCTGTACCGCTTGATTCAGTGCTATATATTGTAAGAACATTTATAACTATGTTCTTACTATTTATATTATATACGTTTTCTTATTTTGTAATATATAGAAGGAGATGCTCATGTGACAATTCTACCAGTCTATAGTTCGGAATTGCTAACGTTGAACTAATAAAGGACAGTTGTGTTTGATTGACCGTTGTAGATACAGTTAACTTAACTTATTTTAAATAACGACTCGTCTATCACCCATTTTCATAACCGACCGACCAACTCCGTCTAACTTGGATACACCTACTAACTAACTGAACTAGCATTTAAGACAGACGTATTGTACATTAACTTATATTTATTGAATATTTAAAATATAACTTTAATTTGACGTTTCCAAAAAAAGTAGTTTAACTTTATTACACAGAATGTCTAAAAAGTAAAAAACAGATAAATTGTTACAAACAATGTAAACAATAGAAACTCGTTTCCTTACTTACTGCACTCTGTATAATCTCTCAATAGTAACTTAGGTACACGAATATTTGTTTCTCCTTTAGGTACTTAAAACTCATTTAAGAACAATAGGGGTCTTAGTTTTAACCAAGATACCTAAGTATTAAACAAATCCCTTACAGTATTCAGCTTTAATAGTTCTAAATACTAACGATTTTTGCCTTTGTGAATACCATGGTACTATTCCATTTGTTATCATGAAAATGTATGCTGATTTTGATAATTTTTTTGCTGAATCACCGACATAATCCATTTCTCTGTGGCCACATAAAATTAGTTTCACCCTAGAATTGAAAATTAAACTATAGTTAAATGTTTCTTTTAAAAATACGTTTGATCGCATTCTAATATACGATACTCGTATTATCATTGACTTTTCTAAATAACGACTGATAATATTTACAGTATATATTATAAAACGCTTTGTGATCTGATATAAATATAACAATCTTCCTACTACTTCTCTTTATGGACATTTCCCTGCTTATAATGATTTTGATAAATTTTGAATGTATAAGTGTTGTGGGTCTAATATTGAATCTCTCCAAAACACGTTTAGAATATGACGACTGTAGTTCAATTGCAAAGTTTTTTATTTTTTATTTCAGCAACTAATGCTTTGTTGGATTGTTTCAATCCATACAGATTTCATTGAAGTTGCAAACTTGTGTAGTTCCTTTACTGATTCATATAAATATCTTCTTTAAGATTACCATATGAAATGCTGTTTTAATATCAAATTGTCTGAGTATTAATTCTCTATCTGTTAAAATTCTAATTTTCTAAATTTTTTTGTGTTATAGCTCCTTTACATGTAAATGTATCATAATATTTTGAATAAAATATCTTTGCTTTATATCTTATTGGTTTTTCTATATTATGTCTATCCCTATGTTTCATTTTTGATTGTTCTTGAGTCTAATCTCTTAATTTATTAGTTCATTCTCATTGAAATTTTTGTCGTTATTATTTTTATTATCAACATTTTTTTCCTCGCTTACGGCTACCTTTTCTGAATTTATATCTTACGCTTATTTTGTTTTTTTGGTCTCTATGTCTATAGTATCTTTGAATATAACATCTCTGTTTGCGCACTATGTTATTAGGTCATTGATATGATATTATAACTGTAAATAGCTAATATTATCATCGAGTAATTATAAGTCGGTCGCGTCACTGCGCTTTTTATATCCAGTTCTTTCCCTTTCCTTCTATCAATTGAATATTATTTGATCTGTTGTTTATATACCATTGGTAAAATTATTATTATAAATATATAATATATAGTATAAGAAAAATTGTTTTTCATATTCTCATCATTTTTTTTTTTTTGTGTTTCGGCAACTGTTGCCATATTTGGTTTATCTTACCATTTATTTGTTTGTCGGCTATCTACAATTTTAAAATAGGAATATTATTATGAGCATTTTTAATCTTAAATTAATAAGTTCATTATTTTTTTGAAAAAAATGTTAGTATAAAGTATAATAATTATTATTAAAAATATTAAATGTTTAAAGCAACTAAAATCTCAAAGTTTATGGCGGAAGTCGGCCATAGACTGTTGCGTGGCCGCCTAAGTCTTTTAGATTCGTGATGTAATATATATAATATATATATATCAATCGATCATCCTAATCTAAGTAAATTATATTTCCTTATTACCTAGTACAAAAATATACTCTTCCCTTTAATTCTCAACTTAATCTCTTGTTTATATAAAAAAAAGTTTTCCTATAAAGTGTTCTTGGCGTCGGCGAACCAATCTGCCAGACACGCGTATAATGAGTTGCCTACCTCCTTAAATTTTAAGGCACAACATTTTGGTTTTTTTCTATCTTCCTTCTTTATATTCAGTTTATTTTCAATTTATTTACTTATTAATCACATCCCTTCAATCAATTCATATGCGGCATTTTTTAGTTTTTCCTGAAAATCAACAAATATTCCTTTTCTACCTTTTTGGCCCTATTTTCAATGTTTTTTCTTTTGATATATAAATATAAAATTCACTGCCAAATAATGTTAAATAGCTTATATTAGATTTTTATTATACCATAATTTATAAGGTGATTTTATTCGTGACCTCATATATACTTGGTTGATTTTTTGGCAATTTTTTTACTGTATACATAGTTATAGCTGCTTCTACAATTGTACGCATTGTTTGTTTCGCTTTACCATTTTACTGTGATGTGTATAGTACGCTGGTTTCATATTTTGTACCAAATTTATTCAAAATAGCTTTGATTACATCATCTTTATATTTCAAACAACCATCACTGTTAAAGTAATAAATATTATTAACTAATATTCACCTATTTAAGATTAATTTGAATTTTTCTTTGACTTCTGATTTTTATTTTATAAAATACAAGTGTATATTAAGAACAATCATTCTTGAATATAACAAATTATTTGTTACCACCAAGAAATTTTTCTTCAATGGGTCCACAAACATAATTGTGAATTATCTGATGAGTATTGTTATTTGGTACTGTTCAGTATAAATAGCTCCCGTGTTTCTATAAACGCATGTTCGCAAAAAAAATTTGTTTTCCATTTTCGTGAATTAAATTCCTATATGCTTTAGATAATTCCAAACATATTGAAAATTTTGATGACATAGTTTTTATGCCACAATTGTAATGTAAGAGTTTTTTCAGAAACTTTTTCTGTCTCTTATAAAATTCTTGTATTGATAATTATCAAAAGCAATTTATTCTCACCAACTTTAGTTTACATGCACATGCACATTTATTATACATACTTTTCACTGTATCACAGTTCATTATGTAATCTAATGATTACTCATCTATTCATGTATCTAAAAAACATTGAGCGTTATGCCTTCAATTATTTTTTCAGCGCTTGATTTAAACGCAATCGTGCCTCTGTGTCTTTTTGTGCATTACGTTTTGTTATTTTAATTGAATATTCATAACTTCAATCTATTACAGAAAACAATGCATCATATTTTTTTAATATTACCGACATTTGTAATTTTTAATTTGTCCAATTTTCATTGCCATTTAGATTTTTTTTCACGAAAACAAATTTCCAATTTTTATGAAAATTATATTAATCCACTGTCAATAACATCTACACTTGTTTCAACTATGATGCGTCCACATTGTGATGGGTTTATTATTTTTGAAATTTTTTTATCAACACTTCTGGAGATTTCTTTTTTCATTTTCCAAGATGATGTTATGGTAATTATTTTTTTTTTAATAAAAACAACAATTCATAACTTTAACTAACTTAAATATTCAAGAAGCTGTCATTACTAATTTTGTTACCTGAAATTTTTTTTTTTTAAACCGGAATTTTAATTTTTAAAGAATCTAAACTCGAGTTATCATTTCATTGAGGTACTACTAGGTACCATGACTAACTCATAACTGTTCCATGTGATTAGCTATATTGCATGATTCATTTTTTTTTTCGTTTTTTAGTAGATTTAAATTAATTGTTTTCAAATCTATCTAATATTTCTGTTATAGCTGCTTGTATCTATATAACACTAGCAAGTGTGTTTGTTACTGCTACAAAGAGAACTTCTTAATTTTTTTTGTGCCTAAAGTACGTTTGAATTTTTTATGGATGAACTAGCCAAAACAATACTTTTGTTTAATCCTTTTTTTAGTAAATTCATTATTATTTATATCAATTAATTTACTTTATAGAACAACTATTGTAATTTTTTATTTTAAATAATAGTTTTTCCTATATGTATTTCTATAATATTGTCTATAATATTAAATTAATAAAAATAAAAATATATAATTATTATTACTGGGCAAAATAGTCTAGTTTTGAATATTTAATTTAAAAAAAAAATGTTTAACTTATGAAAAATCAAAATTAACATATATAAGGCTTTAGTTCAAAGTTGTTTCAATATCAATCACTATATAAAATTTATATTAATGTTATTGAAACAATATAAGTAATTAAGTTTTTATAATAATATGATTGGTGCTCGTCATGCTGGTCTTTTAGAAACAACAAAATTATAGTTCCAACTAGTTATTTTGTACCGTTTTTGCGCATATTAGTATTTGAACAGCTTGTGTAGTGCAACATATGCGTATACTATAACAAATAACATGCGCTGCAATTATATTTAGTAAAAAGTTTACCACGAATACCAATTACAAAGTCAATGCTGTGTTTTGAAGCATCACGTATGCAATATATCAGCAGTAGCTGATATATTTCTTTTTAATTAGTTTTCATTGTTTATAAAAATAAAACTAAAAAATATTATTATCATATCACTTAAGCAGTTATTACGCTAAAATCCATTTTAATTTTCATAATTTTTGTGTTGTGCTTCATTTTAAAATATTATGCAGTAATCAATTTTTTTTTGATATTTCAGTGTTTTTAATTCGATTTCTATTTTTACATAAATTCGTTGTAACTAGTCAAAATTATGAGTGAAACGCGTTTAGAAGACCTTTTCCATGAATGCGATAGAAGCGGTGAAGGTAGGATAGGTCCTCAGGAGTTTCAAGAACTTTGCGAAAAGTTTGAAATCAGTGAAAGCGATGCTGAAGTTATATTCATGGACTTAGATAGAGATGGTGACGGTCAAATTTGCTTAGAAGACTTTGCTTGGGGTTTTCGGGACTTTTTAGACCAGCCTAATAAGTCTCCAAGACCACAGTCAAAGAATACACACGGAACTCGTAGAGGTTCTCGAGCTGCTTGGTCACACTTCGTTTCTACTATAGGAGAACCAGCTGTTCAGAAATTGTTTCAAACTAGGTATTCGTGATTATTATAATTACGCACTTAATAACAATTCATTTTTATACTAAATAAGATTTTTTTTTTTTAACATTTAGAAAATTACAATTTCAAAATCCCTATGGAATTTGAATAAACGATATACCACATTTTTAAATATATACTTTTCATAACTCCTTGTAATATATTTCCACAAACTTGTGAATTTGACTAGAGAAATACATTCAATAAATATTCCTAATTTAGGAAACGCGGGCATAATGAATAATTATCAATATTACAATATAATTAAACGCTTTAATCAATGTCAAATATGTGTGGATAACAACAGCTGTATTGTTATAAACCAAGTAGTTATTAAGTCATAAATACAGACCAAATTTCTAAAACTAAAACGTTTCTATGAATAATATTTACTGTGATGAATAATGTGATCCATAATTCAATTCTGCTGAAAGAATGAATTACGTGATACATATGACATAACAGATGACTACCAAAACTGGTAAAAACAATTTGTAATGAATTCGTAAAATGATTAATTATTATTTAAAAATCTATAACGTTCATTTTTTTATATATTACTCATGTAAAAAATATTTTCAATACTATACACTTTTTTAATCTTTGACCGCCTTGCTAGAGTTTTTTATTATACATATAATATATTTTTTAATTATTTTTCAAATAATTCATATTGATATAAACAACATTTTATATCTCTACTTATAGTTAAATAAAATAGTATTTTATGAATTTATTAAACGGTTGAAAATCCCGTGATTAGATCACAAACAAAAATTTGGTTTGCTCTATAATCGACTTTTATGGTAAAATAGTTAAATGAGTATGTTTCAACAGTCTAATTCATCTAATGCTTAGAAATACAAAGCGAGTTATTGATTAATTTATTTCAGTGGTAAAAAGTTAGCTGATCTGTACTTAGAAATTCAAAACTGCAGTCCTTCGTCAGACCTGATTACTCAATTCGAAGGTGCTCTAAGTTCATTGATGGAAGATGTAAAACGGTTGCACGAAGATAATGAAAAACTTGAAGATATGTTTAACAAGTAAGTACTGTAAATTTTTAATAGTAAACTACACAACAATTTGTAAGTTTAAATAAACACTATTTTCATTACACGAGCGATTTTTATTTACAATCTAGAGAACGCCAATCACATCTATTGAGGCTTCGAGGGTTAGAAGAAGAAATTGATGCGCAAGTTGCTAAAGTCGAAGCTCAAGCTAGAGACGAAGCTAGAGAGAAATTTGAGTTTGAGAAAAAAGAACTGATGAAAAAGATGGAAGCCGAAACAATTGAGCTGAAAACACACCTGAAACTTTTCCAAAAAGTGAGTGTACTGTTTTATGTAGTACTCATCTTTCTTCTACTAACATTGCCGTACGACATCTACTTAAAATTCAATAGCAATTTATGCATTTTAAACAAATATTCATAAATTTTATGTTATTTTTTTATACCACAATTTTTCAATCATAAATGTTTAAAGATGGTTAAGTATTTGTCGTTCTATAGGTTAACACAGTATTAAGTCAGAAAAAAGGAGACAAAACTGAAATGGATGAGACCATAGAGGAATCACGAGAACTAAGGCGGAAATTAATAGATACACAGACTAATCTTGCAATAGTGAGATCGGAAATGGAGAAACTTCGCAATGAATACGAGACTAAATGTCAGCAATTCAATAAGTGCGTTTTAAGATAACACAAAAAAATGTTTTATCTAATATAATGTAATTGTTTTGTAGAATTTATGTGAGCAATTATGACGAGGAAAGTGGTGCTCAGTACACCATTAAACGGCTGATGGACGATATTGGTAATAGCTATTAATAAAATAAAAAACTAAAATATAATAACTAAAAGATATTTATTATAAATACAAGCAATTTTTTTAAATTGACACATTAAATTACAAATGTTTTGTAGAAAAGTTGAGTCAGTTTTATTTGAATAAATTATTTTTAAACCGTATACAATATTCATTGTATATACAATACAGTTATACATTTTAATTTTTTAATTTTTTAAATATTTATATGACTTATTATTGCGAAGTGTTTTTACTGCTAATAACTAACTGTTTGTATGTGTTTTCCTTTGATGTAAAATCATTAAAAAATTACGCGTTTTATGTACAATTCTATGATACTCTTACTGTATTAAGAAATTTGGTATTATACTTAATTATGGACTATTTTTTAATAGTACTTTTTGTCCCTATTGCCAAATTTTTAAATGGAATGAACGCCAAAAACACATATTGAACTTTTACAAAGTCCACAAATAAAAAATATATAATTTTACAATATATTTAAAAAAAATTTTTTATAGGCATAAAATTTCAATACTAAAATTTTCTTAAGTTTTTGTAAAAATAATACAGACAAATAATTTTAAACCTAGTACCTATGAAACAGTTTGACACATCCTATTGGGATTGATAAATAAACAAAAACATTTCATTTATAAAAAGATTGTAGAACTTACATAAAATATATTTCTAACTTTTTTTAGAAAAATGTTTTTAAGATATAAATACACTACCAGTATTTACTAAAATGACCTGTTTACTTGAGCATTAGGTACTTGTTAAATATATATAATATATTTTATAGATTATGCGCTTGTAAGTATAAGTATACAAATTTAGTATACATAAGAAGTTATAATATAATAAAGCATTGGAAAATTTGCTAATGTTGAAAAATTACTTAACGATCTTTGATTTTCAATTTTTATTTTTAAATGAAAGAATTCGGCGACATTACCTTAGAATGAGGTAAAGAATTGTAAAATAAATGTATCAATGCAAATATTTGACTAGTATATGTTAGTTTTATTTTATACATTTTTATAGTATTTACTAAATTTTATAGATAGCGGTCATTCTACTCTTTTAGATGTAAGAGAAAGAGACTTGGCTGATGATATGTCAAATGCATCAAGTATCATAGCCCCATACAATTCAAACAAAACGGTACAATCAAAGTTAATATGAAAACCGCTTCGATGCAAATCTGTAGATAGTAAATAGTTTAAAGAAGGCATTGTTAGATTATTCCAAAAACAACATAAACTCCTATTTCCTTAAATATATTCTCATTTTCAATTTTATGAGTTATAAGTATAATACATGAACAAATACACATAGTATTTAAATTTAGTATAAAATTGATATCCCATAATTTAGTATTATAATTTTTACGGAGAAATTAAAACATTTATAAAGTAGTTGCATATTTCGTTATTTCTATGTAAAAAGTATATAAAAATTTTTAGTTTGGATTTATCATAAAAACGAAAAGAAAAATAACTTTCTTAATTCGATTTTCCTAAACTTTCATCGTTAATTATGAATTCCGATACGAAATTAAAATTGTAATTAATCATAATCAATTGGTAGTTTGAATATTTTATTTTTTTTTTTGAATGGGCATTCCTTTTCCTTTTAATATAATTATTGGACTAACATTAAAATCTGCCAAAATTCTCCATAAATATATTTATTAATAACACTTAAATCTTTTTTTATTATATTTTTTTGTAAAAGAAGAGTTGAATAGGGGTACTTTTTCCTTCTAACATGATTACAGTATATTTGCAAACCACTCCATTCATTACTTGCTTAATAAACACATTATTAAATTTTTTTTTTAGTTACATAAAATGGTAAAATTAATACTTTCTCAGCATTGCATTGAACCTAAAAATAATATCTATTTTGTAATAATAACTGAAATCATACAAACGTAGTAATATTATTTTTGAATAATTTACCACCATATTAACTTTTGTAGTTAGATTTTGAAGAAATGAGTTTGTCGGGATCTATAAGGGAGAGAGATTTACACATGACTCATCTAAACACTCCTATGAGTGCAATGAGCGTTAATAGTTATGATATTGGCATTGGTGGAGATCCAGAAAGAACTTATAAAATTGTTTTTGCTGGAGACGCCGCCGTAGGAAAAACTTGTTTTATTCATCGCTTTTGTAAAGGAATCTTTGCCACAAAACTTGGATCCACTTTGGGTTGGTAATAATAACTTTGTATACATTACGATTATCACATATAGTATGATCTGTCTGAGTTTAAATAACTTTGTAAAATATTTATTTTTATTCATCTTTGATGTAAAAATTCATATAAAATATAGGAGTATAATAAATATTTGTTTATTTAGGAGTTGATTTCCAAGTTAAAACAGTCAGAGTTGACGACAGAATAATCGCCTTACAATTATGGGACACAGCAGGTGAAATATTTCTATCGAAAAAAATGTTTAAAATATCCCAAAGAACATAAATGATTTTAAAATGTTGTTTGGTATATGTGTCTCAAATTTACAATAAAATGATTCTTATTTATTAATTTTACATATTAATAGGACAAGAGAGGTTTCGTTCAATAACTAAGGCTTATTTTAGAAGAGCAGACGGCATCGTTCTAATGTATGACGTGACTAATGAAAGAACTTTTCTTAACATCCGTCAGTGGATCATATCCATCATGGTAAATTTTTTTCTAACTAATAGAGATACATAATTCTTATGTTTAAATATAATAAAACATTTTAAATATCAAAATATATAATATGTTATGTCATTCAATATTAATCTTTATTAATTTTAAAACATTTTTCAGGAAGTATCCGACAAAGAAATACCAGTGTGTATTTGCGGAAACAAAGTAGACTTAAGATCTGATGCAGAATCACAAGGGATAACGTGTGTGTCAACAGAATGTGGAGCACTTTTAGCAAAAGAAAATAATGCTCTGTTTTTTGAAACCAGCTCTAAACTGGGTACAAATATAAATACTGCCTTAGTAATGTTGTCTAGGTAAATAAAAAGAACCATTAAATAAATAATTATTTTAAGATTTATAAATATTTTTATATTTTATTTACATGATTTCTTATTTTTAAGTCAATTAAACACACATCGTTCCATTTAAAAAACCTTAAGATGGTACATCTTTTCTTTTATTCTGAAAGAAAAAAAAATGTTCTTATATTTTTGAAAATTGTGCTACACAAAGTTGAATCACTTATTTAAAAAACAATTAAAGTCATAAAATTTTGAAAAATGCAGTACGTTTTCTTATTGAAAGACATTTCATTTATGAATATTTTCTAGTAAATTTAGGAAATATTTTTAAAGCTCAATAAGTTCAAAAATGTTCCAAAAGTTATAAAAGAATACGTGTAAATAATAATAAACAATTATGCTGTGTCTAATTAAGATTCTAGGTAAACTTATTACAGTAATTCATGAATTTATCTATCGTAGAAAGACATGTATTGTAAAAATGACACAAGTTCAGAGTTTTAAATTGCGTCTCTTTAAGTTAAAATAGGTCATTTTTTTTTTCTTTTTATTAACTCGGTGTATTTTATTAAATAAATTTCTTTAGCCATTTAAGTTACAATGCAACACAAAAGTAATAACTTAAAAACAGTTTTTACTTTTTTCTATTTGTTTAATATTTTAGACCCACATCGTTCTAATCACCCAGTATTTTTTGGGTTAATTGTTGGCTACTAGTGCCATATTTACCATTGAGGACAGTAGGCAACTTCCTATGACCTCCGTTATTAGGAGCCTCAGATTTCTATAGATTTCAGTCCAGTGAATGTTAACACTCACAGCAACTGTTTACTGAATGTTTCCTGTAATTGTAGGTATAAAGTGATAATGATAAGCACCACGCGCTAACTTGTTAAAAATATGTGAAATGGATCTTCGAAAATTGTTATTAAATTAGTAAAAAAGGAGATAATTGTTTTTATTTTTATCTGACGAAAAATATGAACAAACAGTTAAAGAAGTGATTATTTAATATACATAAAAAAAAAAGAAAAAATCGTCATGATAATTGAAAATTTAAACGTTACAACGTTATGACGGTGATGGATACAGATAAATTTATAGTCCTTTTAAATAATATTAAGTCAAATATCGTAAAAATGAGAAAACGCTCACATTAACATTGGTCAAGGTGGCCATAATCATATGCTAAAACAATTACAATTTAAGTACAAAAATAGTACTTATGAAACTGTAAGTTTTTATATAAGCTTCTGCACACAGTGTTCAATAAAACAAATAATGCTTAAAAATGTATTGTAGTAAACAGAACATCGGCCAAATCTTGAAGCAGTCAGAATAATACGTTTGGCCGAACAAATATTTCTACTATCAAAAGTTGGAATTACCATACGAATTAGAGCGCTAGATTGGGGGCGATTAGATTTTCAAAATATTCTAGCGATTTTTATTGAAGTGATTAATAACGAATTCTATAAGTTAGCTACTAAATCTGGAGTTTTAAATCTGTTATACATATACAATCAGTTTACTGTTAGCAAAGAAAAATTAATATCTATTGAAGAAGTATTGTTTGATTATCCCATTTCATTATGAAATACATTAGCGGCAATATCTATAATAGGAGGTCAAGGATTTTAAGCAAAAATGTACATCAAATTAATACAGCTGTTAACAAATTAAAATTATTTGTAACTCAAAATGTCGCGATAGTTTTCCTTGTTGTAACAAATAATTTAAAGATTTAATATAAGTAAATTAATTACATAATAAAATTAAAATACTTAAAACTTCTTTTTTACAGCTCACAACGTTCATTAAAATATCATTGTAAATGATAACATATATACACATTGACTAGTAATTGTATAACATTCACATCATTTATTAAAAAATTGTCGACATTCACCAAAATGATAGTGATTGCCCGCATTTAAAAACAGCTGTCTTTCACTGTAACATGTATATTATAGATTTTTAGAATTATTAGAGGTCACAATTTCAATATTTCATTGTGCCTCAAAGTACTTTAATCTACTGACTACCGATTGATAAAAACAAGAATTAATTGAATGTCCTAAATATTTAATAATGTATAAATAATAAAATTTATTTTTAACAAAACACTATTTACAATAAATTATTTTTATTTGTTATACTGACATATGAAGTCTTACTAAAGTTCGCAATCATAATAAAATAGTTGGTTTTTTTTTTTATTAATAAATAGTTAAAATACTAATCAAGTAGCGTAATTTATGTATTAACCAGAAAGAATATATATAAGAAATAATTTTTTCTGATATAATTTAACTTAGTCTCATTAGTGGCGTGCCCAGGAATTTTAAATTGGGAGGGATGTCATAACTAATAGGTATTAATACAACAAAATACATCTAATGGGGTAGAAAGAATTAGAAAAGATTAATAAAAGGGCTTTAGAGGTCAAGCCTCATTAAAATATTTATTAATATTATGTGTTTTGTAGAATATGATGTAATGTTGTTATACAAATATACAATGTAATAATTACAACTTTATTAATTATTGCTGTTAGGTACTCGATTGTAGAAAAAAAACCCAATGGGGAGGGATAGACCCCTAACCTCCCCCCCTGGGCACGCCACTGAGTCTCATCAAGGAGGAAACTGATGATCAAATTTTTATATAATAATAATAATTAATGAGGTGAATAAAGTGAATGCTAGTGAACAAACGCTTAACATAAAATTATCATTTTACCCAAAATCATTGGTCTTAGACTTATTGATTTAAATAAAAATTGTTAAAAATTGTATATATTATTGGACAGATTTATATCTCTAATTTATTTAGTAGTGTAATGAAGGTTCGCATATTACATGAATTATTACGACACAGTAAAATGTATCGTTAAAAACATTATTCAATAAATAATTGACATTTTTAACTTACAGAGAAATGTTGATTAAGGAAGATGTAGATATTCAAACTTCTTCGATGATCTTAGTGGAGCAAAATCATAAAATCAATAAAGCATGTTGTTAATACAACATTAGGAAGTTTTAATTTATTCTTAGAATGTTTAAAAATTACATTTTTATTATATACAGACTATAGAACTTACTAAATTCGAAATTCTATTTTATTGTTAAATAACAATAAAAAATAATATTATATTTTCTATATTTTATTTGTTTCTATTTCATCAGATATTATTACTTGGTAATAAAATGGAAATAGTTATAAGAAATTTTATTTTTAAATATTTGTAATTTATATTGTAACTTTACATTCGAATTACTAAATATTTAATTTTGATACTTATTTAACTTACCATTATAACAATCATAATAATTTATCAAGAATCTACGCTATTTTGTCTAATAGTAATTGAATTAAAATGTTATTATCAAATTATTTTTTTTTAATTTTATTATTAACTCATATAATTAGTATTCATATTTTTTGTTTTTACTAATTTGACATTAACATTAAATGATTTTTAAACAACGAAAATGTAAAGCTTACACAATATTTTCATTAAATAATTTTTATAAGTATTGTGTCATTTCACTTATTTTATAAAAAATACAATTTTTCCATGGCTCAGAATTTTGTTATATATAATTTTTTGACTTAATTCGCTCCAGAAAAATTATAACACTTTTTTACAATAACTGTATATGGGAGACCGGATTAATATTTTACCCTGACGGTTGGGTAAAATGACATACTTACTTTTATAAATGATATTTTTTCAAATACTTGCAAGTGAATGTTAAATTTCATCGATGTTTTGTAATTAAAATACATTTAATACATTAATAACAATATATAACAATACTTTATTATTTTCAACAAAACAAATTAATTATAATAAGTAAATAAAATAAAAATGTAACTGTTCTGACTTAAAATATTTTAACTTAAAACTTAAGTTCTAAATTATAAAGAAAAAACATAGGTAACGTCTTTGTTCCATATATCACAAAATTTTTAAAATTAATAATACAACCAGTCTCGTCTAGCTTCTTTTTTTTTAGTATTAAATAAATGAGATATACTAGCTTCTTCGGTTACATTATAGGCCAATTTCTGAACTTCTTTCACAGTAAATTCAAAAAATCTAGACTCCATTTCTAGTATGCGCTCAGCTAATTTTTTGTCCATAGAAGGTAAAAAAGTGCTAGGTCGTCCTATTGTTTTCGTAACACCAATAGCTAATTTATTTTTGTTCTGACATCGACGACGAAGAGTAGCTTGAGGAACATTACATTTTTTTGAGACGTCTTAAGCCAACTCATTTATTTTTTATCTATAGCAGATATAACTTTTTTCATATCACTATCTGTCCATGACTGTAGTGTGGTTTTACAATAATAATTCGATACCATTGTAACTAAAAAAATAGCAAAAATTAAATATAAAAAATAACTCGGGAAAATGACATACCACTTTATCATTTTGTCCAGTATTATAATAATATATTTCGAATAATTTCCTATACAATTAATATCAGTAAGAAAGATAATAATGCAATTATATTGTATCTTACCTTTTGTTCTCNTATCAGTAAGAAAGATAATAATGCAATTATATTGTAGCTTACCTTTTGTTCTCCAACATAGGATCTTAAAAAATTTACAAAATATGAAAATGATAGTATAAACTTTAAGTCTTAAAAGTACAAAAAAAAGCGCCAGTCTTCCCTAATAAATGACAATTATTTAATATTTTGGTTAAATATACAATAAAATCATTTTAAAAAATTTATATTTAATTGTGTCTAATATTTAAAATTAAAAAAAGGTATAATTACAATTTTAACAAACACAGAAGATGTTTTATTTTTTTTTATAGTTTCATATGAGTTCAATATTAGTTCACTAATGATATTCAAAAAATTATTTAATTAGTAAATAAATAAACGTATTATACATTGACCATTTTCAAAGAATATAAGTAGTATAATTCTTAATCGAAATGGTGTCTCATTAAAATATATAAAAACGTCACCACTGTGCTGCGTTTTTTTCTCTTAAAGAGATAAAAAAATTTGTACAGTGAAATTAAAAATTCTTAGTAGTTTCTGTGAAAATGAGTGCACCGTTGTTTTTCATTTATATGTTGACCAATGTTATTACTTTGTATTTATAACTATGCCTTAAGTATCGAATTACAATTTGTTTTCTCAATTATACTTTTCGACCCTGAGATATACATGATTGGGTCGCATATTTAACACATTATATTTAAGTGTAAAGAAGACCGCTGTCGAGGAATGCAAATCAATGTTTCGTTGCTAATTGAAGGTCAATTTAAGGTGTACTTTAATAATTAACAAAACCGACTCACTATTATTTAGTGGTGAGTTCTTTCAATCCAAAAACAATGTTCCGCAACATATTTATGCTTAATTGACCCTGACCCTGTATAATTAACCGTTTACTGTGTAAAAAATGTATGTTTTGTAGGTGGTGTATAGCCACGACGAATGAACCAGCCTTACACACGATCCAGTAACAGATTAAATGTTAAATGATTTATACACTTCTAAAATTCAGTTGATAATGTTCGGTGCAGTATTGTTGTTACTATACTGATCTTATACATGTAATTGGATTATTTTCTCTTTTTATGTTATTATTTAAAAAAAACACCAGAGCGTTGTGGTAAATTCAAAGAAAAATCTAATTCTCGACCGCAACAAGATTGATTGAAAACGCTATACAAACGGGTAATAATTTTATTTAAGAAGCAACTTAATTTCATTAAAAACCATAAAATAGTTTTTATTTTCAGTTATAAACAGGGGTCGGATAAAATTTTTTTTTTCGTTTAGCGTTTAAATATAATTTAACGTTATCTTATAATAAAGTTTAGCATTATTCAATATTTAAACATTATACAATTTTTGAGTTTAACTTTTGTAATACTAAAACGTTATTCATTTTTTTTTCGTTTAATGTTAAAAGGATTTGAAATGTAATTCACTACCATTAATAGTTTTTTGTATAGAGAACCGCTATTTTTTATTTAATAAACATTTTTAAATATATATTTCGAAAATAATTTATTTTTGTTTTAATAAAAACTATTGTTTTATGTTAGAAGTTGTATTATGTTTAAAAATATTTTACGTTTGTTGATATTGCATACTTTTTGTTTTAGTATTTTTATTACGTTTAGGCAAAAATTTTCGTTTTAATCGTTATGATTATAACATTATTAATAAAGTTGCTCTGGTTATAATTATTATTTTTTTTTGTAAATTTCATTTTTATACAGCGGCCATGGGCGAATCAGTCATTAATCTTTCAAATTGAATTAAACACAGTTTAGCATGTTTGAAATTATGTGCCTTTGAAACCTATTTGATTCCAATAAAGTATGACTCAAGCAGGTCCGACTTGGATTTAATAATGTATTTAAATACCATTAAATAACTTAAATAAAAAATTTGAAAAATCAGCGCGATATGCATAAAAAATAAGTACAGCACGAGTTGTATTCTGTCTCTCCATAATTAATTATCATGTTAATCTCTTTTTTGTTAACAAATAAAAATAATATAAAAAAAAATGTATAATTTTTTTATATATTCATACATATTTGACTGCCTTGAATTAGGTTACTTTAAGCGCGTAAAAATAAAAATTACGGTTTAAAAACTAAACAAAAAACAGCATGGTAAATATATTCTTTTTAGTAGATTAAAGGGTATCTCCTGACAAGAAAATATGTTAATGAGCATTACAACGACTGTTTTCTAAACACAACAAGGTGAACGCACCGTCTCTAATCGCAATATATAAGTAACTGCTATTTGGTTATTATTCCATTTAACGTATTGAAAATTATTGTAAAACACACCGAATTTTCTTTCTATTTTTGCAATCATTTATCTTGGGTACGATAACTACATTCATCGGTAATAATTATGAAATGTACACGTATAAAATGTTGTTATTTTAAACCTATTCAAATCCCTGCGGTGAAATAGTTTACTCGATAATAATTATTATTGCTTTACATTCTAATTAAACGCTATTCAATTGTGTGATTTACGGTAAAAGATAATTTATTTTTGTCTAAATTCGCAATTGTATTCAATAGCCCCACGCGGTAATAAAAACCACCAGCAGGTACACATCTATTATAACGACCGAGTTCGGCTGATGCAGCTGCTGTTCACAGACCATTGGCCGGTACAATACCTTTTAAAAATTCATGAATTCAATCAGCTTTATTCTCTGCCCCCGTACTATAGTGTAATATTACAATGTCATTAATGTGACAAAAATAACATTTCACCAAATCAGTCGCATGACCACTTTTATACGGTTTAATAGCGGCCATTCGTTTTGTGCAGGACAAATTGAATTGTGTTCGATTAAAAGGTAAATTTAGAAATAAATCAGTTGATCAATCAATGAAAAAATTGTGTACAACGTGTTAATTACTCTTAGTTTAACAATAATTTTAAATGAGAAAACTATCACACCGGCTGTTTATTTGTGGTTTGATTCATAAAAATAAACTCTTTAAACGTTATTCACGATAATACAATTGTTATTATTGAAAAATACAATTGACATGCAAGTGAATATGCAATTCCCGATGAAGTCACATCAAGTTGAGCAAAATAGGATTAGGAAATAAAGTTAAAATTATACAAATTAGATTTTTTTTCACTAATTTTTTTATTAATTTATCATTTAGGCCAGTCAACGAAGGAGTAATTTTGGCGAATAGCGGAAAAAATGTCCAATCAAATTTTTTTTTTTTTTAACTTGAATTAAGATATGTTTAATGACATACTAAAAGTCCTCATCGATTGGAGTTAAACTTTTTTTTAGAGCCTTGCAAAAGTTCAAAAATATGAGCTTTTTAAGTTTTTAAAAAAATATTTAATTTACAAAAAAAAGTTTCGTACAAAAGTTGTCTAAAAGACAATTTTAAACAAAAAACATTTCTACAATTTTTTCATTTAAACAAATATTTTTCGAGTTAAATGACATTTAATATGAATACTAAAATTTATTTTGCATTTTTTCCATTTTACTTTTTATAATGTTATACTTACATTAGACACAATGTTACAAATGCATATGTGTGTATATGTGAGTTTATTTATTTATAGTATCATTATAGTGTAGTGTATATTAATATACAACAGATAGAATAGGTAATTGATCTGACGCTATATTTTGTAAACCCAACCAAACGTTAAATTGTACATTCCCAAACAACAATTATGACTTAAAATTATTACTTTTTCACTATTTTTGGTAAATTAAATATTTTTTGAGAAAATTAAAAGAAGCTCATATTTTTGAACTTTTGCAAGACTATAAAAAAAAGCTCAACTCTAATCGATGAGGACATTTATTATGTCATTAAACATATCTTAATTCAACTTAAAAATAAAAAAATTGGTTGAGAATTTTTCCTTTATTGACTGGCTTAATTATTTTAAACTTTTATTAATTTTGATGAAAGGTTTAGAGCGAAAATTAGTGCACATCAAATAACGTTGTTGAACATTAACATATATTCAAGATCATTCATAAGAAAATTTCCAGGAGCGGAAAATAATTGAATTTCTTAATCTCTTTTTTTTTGTCAACACTTTTAATTTCATAACATTTTAAGATAAACTAATGTAATTTTAAAGAAAAACTATAAACACTTATAGAAAATACACATTTTATTTTAGAAAAGCAAAATTGTAAGCAACTATACTAGTTTATCAAGAGGGGAATGCCCCCTTGTATATATTTTGGTTGGAAATTACATTTGGTAAACTTTATATAATGTTCGGTGATGGTAGAAACTATACAGATTCTTGTTTTTAATGAATTGTATACTTAATAATTTATAAACTGATACTTATTACGTTGAAGAATTGTAAAAGAAAATGTTTTAAATTAATTTAAGGTGATTATGCCAATCAAGAACTACTTAAAAGTTAGTTTTGATAGTAAGCGTTAAGCCGTAGATGGACACATTTGTCACAAGAGTTTTGAAGTCTTTTTTTGTTACTCGTAAACTGAGTAATTGATTTATGAAATAATACATTTTTGGTAAAAATTATTACTCAGTTCGTTTTTAAAAGAGCGTATATTTTGGCAACAACGGTCCTCCTCTTCAAAGTTACTTCNAATATATAAGTAACTGCTATTTGGTTATTATTCCATTTAACGTATTGAAAATTATTGTAAAACACACCGAATTTTCTTTCTATTTTTGCAATCATTTATCTTGGGTACGATAACTACATTCATCGGTAATAATTATGAAATGTACACGTATAAAATGTTGTTATTTTAAACCTATTCAAATCCCTGCGGTGAAATAGTTTACTCGATAATAATTATTATTGCTTTACATTCTAATTAAACGCTATTCAATTGTGTGATTTACGGTAAAAGATAATTTATTTTTGTCTAAATTCGCAATTGTATTCAATAGCCCCACGCGGTAATAAAAACCACCAGCAGGTACACATCTATTATAACGACCGAGTTCGGCTGATGCAGCTGCTGTTCACAGACCATTGGCCGGTACAATACCTTTTAAAAATTCATGAATTCAATCAGCTTTATTCTCTGCCCCCGTACTATAGTGTAATATTACAATGTCATTAATGTGACAAAAATAACATTTCACCAAATCAGTCGCATGACCACTTTTATACGGTTTAATAGCGGCCATTCGTTTTGTGCAGGACAAATTGAATTGTGTTCGATTAAAAGGTAAATTTAGAAATAAATCAGTTGATCAATCAATGAAAAAATTGTGTACAACGTGTTAATTACTCTTAGTTTAACAATAATTTTAAATGAGAAAACTATCACACCGGCTGTTTATTTGTGGTTTGATTCATAAAAATAAACTCTTTAAACGTTATTCACGATAATACAATTGTTATTATTGAAAAATACAATTGACATGCAAGTGAATATGCAATTCCCGATGAAGTCACATCAAGTTGAGCAAAATAGGATTAGGAAATAAAGTTAAAATTATACAAATTAGATTTTTTTTCACTAATTTTTTTATTAATTTATCATTTAGGCCAGTCAACGAAGGAGTAATTTTGGCGAATAGCGGAAAAAATGTCCAATCAAATTTTTTTTTTTTTTAACTTGAATTAAGATATGTTTAATGACATACTAAAAGTCCTCATCGATTGGAGTTAAACTTTTTTTTAGAGCCTTGCAAAAGTTCAAAAATATGAGCTTTTTAAGTTTTTAAAAAAATATTTAATTTACAAAAAAAAGTTTCGTACAAAAGTTGTCTAAAAGACAATTTTAAACAAAAAACATTTCTACAATTTTTTCATTTAAACAAATATTTTTCGAGTTAAATGACATTTAATATGAATACTAAAATTTATTTTGCATTTTTTCCATTTTACTTTTTATAATGTTATACTTACATTAGACACAATGTTACAAATGCATATGTGTGTATATGTGAGTTTATTTATTTATAGTATCATTATAGTGTAGTGTATATTAATATACAACAGATAGAATAGGTAATTGATCTGACGCTATATTTTGTAAACCCAACCAAACGTTAAATTGTACATTCCCAAACAACAATTATGACTTAAAATTATTACTTTTTCACTATTTTTGGTAAATTAAATATTTTTTGAGAAAATTAAAAGAAGCTCATATTTTTGAACTTTTGCAAGACTATAAAAAAAAGCTCAACTCTAATCGATGAGGACATTTATTATGTCATTAAACATATCTTAATTCAACTTAAAAATAAAAAAATTGGTTGAGAATTTTTCCTTTATTGACTGGCTTAATTATTTTAAACTTTTATTAATTTTGATGAAAGGTTTAGAGCGAAAATTAGTGCACATCAAATAACGTTGTTGAACATTAACATATATTCAAGATCATTCATAAGAAAATTTCCAGGAGCGGAAAATAATTGAATTTCTTAATCTCTTTTTTTTTGTCAACACTTTTAATTTCATAACATTTTAAGATAAACTAATGTAATTTTAAAGAAAAACTATAAACACTTATAGAAAATACACATTTTATTTTAGAAAAGCAAAATTGTAAGCAACTATACTAGTTTATCAAGAGGGGAATGCCCCCTTGTATATATTTTGGTTGGAAATTACATTTGGTAAACTTTATATAATGTTCGGTGATGGTAGAAACTATACAGATTCTTGTTTTTAATGAATTGTATACTTAATAATTTATAAACTGATACTTATTACGTTGAAGAATTGTAAAAGAAAATGTTTTAAATTAATTTAAGGTGATTATGCCAATCAAGAACTACTTAAAAGTTAGTTTTGATAGTAAGCGTTAAGCCGTAGATGGACACATTTGTCACAAGAGTTTTGAAGTCTTTTTTTGTTACTCGTAAACTGAGTAATTGATTTATGAAATAATACATTTTTGGTAAAAATTATTACTCAGTTCGTTTTTAAAAGAGCGTATATTTTGGCAACAACGGTCCTCCTCTTCAAAGTTACTTCTTATTTTGAGATGTATAAAAACTAAAGTTTATCTAAATTATCAAAATTATATCATATCCCTAGTATACAGTCAACTAATAACATTTTTTTAACTCAATACATACATGAGTTTCAGTTGTGACATAATGACGAAGCTTTCGTCAGCATCAAACAAATCGCTTCACCTGACTGGTATTGGTTTAGCAGTACAAGCTTTCTACATTAACCTGACTTTAGATACCGTACTGGGTGGAGAATACGTACAGCTTAGACCAGCTGGTCCACCTGTTATCAACTCAGCTGGCGTATGGGGAGTAGACCAGATACCACAGGGATACGGTTCGGCTGGTAGTAATCTAGCTCTCAATGGCCTTCAGGCTCTCCAGACTTTTGGTGGTAATAAAATAGATGCTAATGGATACAGAGACCAAAACGGATTTTATCACGACAATAATGGTGCCCAGAATGGATACGATGTTGGCAACACATATGGCGGTACGGTATATAAATATAACACTAATCATAAGCCGTTTTTTTTAATGTATAAATTTCATTCCTTTTTCATTTTTTTTTTTTTTTGGTTCGTGTTAAATGCAGCTGTAAAAGATCACGGTGTGACTAGTGTGGAAGGAGGCGCTTATGGAGGTATCAATGGTCGTAATAAAGGACATCAAGTTGCTGGATTTAGTACTTCTTATCAAAAAAATGAGAGTGGAAACAAAGCCACGTATTATGATGATGGCTTAGGACACGGAGGAGTCATCCAATACGGTGCAAAAGATCAAAGGTAACAAAGTAACATCCAATATGTAACTATAGGTTAATCAGTAACATGTGACAGTAACTGACAAAATAAATATGTATCAATTAACATAAAAAAATACATTTATCGTTGACCTTTTCAACAATTAAACACATTTTAAATGCATCCTGTGAGAGTTAATCGGATTGTATTTTTCCATAATTACATTATCACAATTATGTAACGACGGCCAACGCAGCATATTTATGAATATGCCATGAGCCAAATGCAGAAGGGAAAGCGTCACGCCATTTACAATTGTGTAAATTCTCCGTACTGATATTACCTTTAGAGTATTATCATTAATTATAACCCAAGTAGCGAGATTAATAATAACGTTTTCCCTATTGAAAATATCGCATTTATGAGAGTATTACATTTTACGGTTCCTAAAAAAATGTATTTAAAACACGTTATCGAGTGAAAATAATATAGATATGTTTTTGGTTATCGATTTTAAATAATAAAAAGATTAATTTTCAAACATGAATTATTCAGCAAGAGAATATATATTTCAAATAATCACATTGTCCCGGAAATGGTCGACTATTAATTATTTAGTAGACATATTAAATATCTTAAAAGGAATTTAAAATGGTAAATACAATAAAATCAAAGTAACCAAATTTAGCTGACAAGTCAGTTTATTTTTTATAAAGTGCCTTTGTACCAAATAGCTTAAATTTCTAATTATAATACTTAATTTTTAGATTTAGAGATGGAGCGGGTAATGCGTATGGTGGAGGCTACCACGATTCATCATTAAAAACTAACGCAATTGGTCAACAAGGTCAGTATGGAAACGGAGACGGTTATCATACGGGCAGTGGTCAAGCAGGGGATGCAGCGTCAGGTTCTTTGTACGGTTCTAGGGCTGATTCGGTTGGATCTGACGTTGTAGCTGGCACTCCATTTTCGGTGGCTACTCCAGAACCTCTTCCACCAATTGTTCATTTGCCAACACAGTATGTGGACCAAACTCAATATCAACCTCAATTTCCGTTTGTGTCTCAAGCTCAATTCGTATCTCAAGCTCAACATGTTCCGCATGTACCGATCTTGTCCCAAGCACCCGCCGTAGTGTCACCAGCTTCCTTATACCCTACTCCTATACCACAATTAACTCCAGTCTTATCACAAACATCAGTTCTACCACCTTTTGGAGTTCACTTACCTGCCCTAACGCTATCTGCCCGATCGCCATCAGGCCAATATGTGGTTCCGACGCCTCCAAAATTATACGTAGACAAACCAACAAAAAGTTGAAAATAATAGAAAAAAATACATATTTTGTGATTTTCATGATCGTTAAAATGCTATTATTATTTAAATAAAATTCGTTTTTAGAATGTATATTTTTAATTATTTTAATGAAATACTATTCGTTTCGAAAATTCTGCACATACTTAAAATACACTTTAAATTCATTTTTTCTGTGATTATTTAAAAACCAAAGTGTATTTAAATTGTAATTAAATCACTTATTAGAACAATTGACCAATTGGTTTTTTTTACTAAATTCGTAATTATTAATTTTTTTTTATTTAAAATTGTGTTAAAATGTTAACCTTTAGAATACGTATAAAAATTTACTACAGTTATCAAACATAATTTACTTAATTATTCAAAAGTTTCGATTAAAGTAGTTGACATTATATTAAACAAAAAAATTACCTTTTGTCATCAATTATAGAAATAAAAACTATGATTCTATCAAAATAAATGTGTTATAATTATACTCAAAACAAATATTTTAAGTAAAATTTATAAATTTTCTTTGAAAAAAAAATGTGACTTTGAAAATTTTGATTAGAGCAAAGGCTGAATTTATTTAATAAAATCTAGCTCAAGTTCAAAATAATATAGACTATTAAATTCATTAATGGTCAACCTTGCATACACGCGACATAAATTTCGATAATTTTTATGACCAATGAATCGTTAATGAGTTAATAAATAAGGAAGAATGATATGACCATGTTTAAAAAAAATATAATTTTTTTTTTTTTGAAAAAATCCGAAATTTAGAATTAGTCCTTTATTCTAATAAGTGATTCAACTTAATTTATCTTCATCTGTTGTTTAGTTCCTTATTTTCCACGCACAATGAATCATAGTTCTTTGAGTGTATTTTAGACATAATTTAAATTAGTTATTGTTTAATTTATGAATCAACATGTTTTAATTTTACTACCTCATATTGTAAACTGTACACAAATTAAATACACATAATAAAAATTACATAAAATTAATGCACGAGGCTTTCAATAGTTTTCTATAAACACTCTATAAGTAATATTATGTTTTAATGGCTTTTAAATTTTTATTTAATATATTAACTGTCCTATAATCATCATTTGTTGTTGTCAACCGAAGTGTTTTTTGTTTACTCTTGCAACTGATTGGATCATTCTGGACCCCTTAAAACATCAAATCCCTAGAGACGGTTGAGATTAGAATTGGACTCCCTCGTATTTGCACTCTTTCCAATATCACATTCAGAATAATAAATGCCGACAGTGACGAAAATCACTGCCCACTTGTATTCAACAAGCCACTACGTATACTTAAAAATTGAGATAAAAAAAATTAACTTTTTGAATAACATATACCTATTTAATCATTGGTAATATCAACAAAAGTTGAAATTATATAAAATAGAATGGATGAAGTATTTTATCGTTTAAGGATATAAAAATATTAATGTGTAATAATTATTAGAAAACCGTAGGATTTTCATATTTTTTAAAATTAGAATAATGTATTTTGATTATCTTAGTGGGATTAATTGTTTTCATGTAAGCTTAACCTGAGACCTAAGTATTTTAAAAAAAAAAAAAATACGTTGTTTAAATAGTTCAAAAGTTTATGTTATTATTGACACGAAAAAACAGTAAGAAAATATACGTTTCGTACTATTCATTTCATAAATTAAAAAAAATCATAAATAGATTATTGAGTTATCATTAAAAATTAATTTCTCCTAAAATAATAATCTTGAGAGTTTTTTCTTAATTTTGTAAATGTAATTGCAAATGTAACTAATAAAAACGAAAAAAAAACCGTTCAAATCTCTTATTATTTTAAGAAAAATTGATTGGCTAGTGTTAAAATATTCACACAATATAAAATTCAAACTATTTTGAATCAGCAGTTCAAAATCTATATTTATTTATATAAATGTCCAACGGACTCGGTTACTGTAAAACCTTAAAATTTAGTGGTCAATGATAAATCTGTATGGTAGCGACAAAATGAATAGCAATGCATAAAGAGACGGTAAAAAGTATAACGATGCTAAATCGACTTGCTAACTTGTACCAACCTCATAAAAATAATGGCAACGTGTATTTATTACACTCGAATAATACAACAATGTGCCAACTTGTATAAATATGCAACGACGAATGTTAAAAGTATAAACTTTGTTAAGAAATATGCGTTACTCACGGTGTCCTCCGACTTTTCTAAACAAACGTTCAAAAACTACGAGTCCTTAGGCTTAATGAAGAGTAATGATGGTGCGTTTGATAAATTGTTATTTTTGCAATAGCTCACGGCGAATGGATAAAATATGATAATGCTGCAAAAGAAGCTATAAATCAATTATCGCACTTGAATCATATATGTCCCTCGCCTATCGTATCACATGCAGACTGCAAGTGAAGAAAAAGTCATGTCGCCGGATATTATTCATACTGTAATCGTATTATAAACCCTTTGTACCAGTGACGCGCATATGTATGTTCGTGTGTGTGCTATTAAAACGGATTACCACGCCCAGCGATTACACGCCGGTCGGTCCAAGGGGAGAGCATAAATATTGTGATAGAGTGAACAATTTGCAACGATTTTCATTGTCGTGTAAAATAATATTTTGATTTATCGGCACCCGACCGCCCCTGCAACACAGTGCAATGTAGTAGCGATGATGCTGTTGTTTAAAACAAATCAATGTAATATAATTTGAAACGGTCGCGCAATCGAGTACGATAGGACCCAATTATGTCTTTAGCAAAACGTCGAGGGTTATCATCGTTACACAAAAATAATGGCACGTTATCCAAAATCCCGACATAAAATCTAATTGAGTTTACATTGGCCAGTGAAGACGATAACGATTTTATAAAATAATATCATGGCCGGCACGCGCTCGCTATTGAATATACATTACTAGATCATAAGAATTACTATCTGGGTCGGTATTAATTTGAATCATTGCAACAAGAGATTGTATTTGCTGTGTACAGTGCAAAATAGTACAATTCAAAAGAACACAATAAATCACGAAAAAATAAACGTTTCGAACCAAGTAAAAAATAATGATAATAAAATGATATATTTTATGATATAAAAAATAATAATGATTCGCTTGTTATTTTATTTAATGACGCAATGAATGTACTCTATGGTTCTCTATGTCAGTTCTCTAAATCGTGTTGCATAACAATATGCTCAGCAGTCAATGACAGTATCCAATTTAAATCTCGATAAATGTATATTAGCTCCTGCTGACTCATGAGAAAATAAATCATTATTTATCTGCTTCATAGTTTTTATACAAAAATTACTACAATCCACCCGAAGAATGGATTTTACAAAACACATGTGTATGACATGCGCCAATCCTTATAATAAAGATAGACACTGCCGCCGCCACTGGATATACTAATAGAATAATAAGAACAAATTGATAAAAATACATATTAGTACACAAAATATTCCTGTTAAAGGACTCGAGAGGAAAAACGAGATTATTTACAATATATGAAAGAACTGTAAGAAAAACTAGTAATAACAAAAAAACTTATGGTAATTTGGATATCTTTGAATTTCAGTAATTATTTAATAAGTTGTAATAACATTTATTAAGCGTTTAATAATTTAAACGTTTATTTTATTTTGAGTAAAACAATTAATTTCGAAGCAGATATTTTGGTTGTGGTCGTGAAACCGTTTTTAAAATCTTAATACTTTAAGCCGTTTCGACGATCGTAGTAAACCAGCAGTAAACGTTATATCTACTTGGAAGACATTTTAATGTATTCTAAGCGATGGCCTTTTGTATTTCCTTCGGGTGAAATAATACTGGAAAAAGACGATTAAAAGTGTCAGCAATACTGTGGTATAGTCGTTACAGCCCAACCGCCATATTATTCAAAAGCTTTTGCAATAAAGTGTGCATTTTGTATTTAAATAAATTGTCACTTCTTTTAACACTCATTTTAAATACTTGATCGAAGTAATTAGAAAATCCGAACACTGGCTTGGTTAAAATAAATTATTCTCTTTTCAGTTCAAGCATATTTCTAGACATTATAGTTCCCTATTTACAATTCTCTTTGTTAATTACAACCGATAACAATAAAATGAATTGTTTAAATTTAGCAATAAGAAATACGGTGCAATAGCTAAAACACGAAAAATAAATCTTATTCTTGAATAAACTCTTTTTTTATTATTATACATTTTACGATAATCCTTAAGACACGGATCTTTTTTCAATTTTTAATGTGACTTAATATTTTTAGTTTAAATCAGTTAGCACCTATATTGAAATATACTTTCCGTCGCATTATACATCGCATTATCTTTTATACGCAATAGTAACTCACTTTCTCAGACTTAATCAAAATAATTATTTCTTGGATGTAATTATTTTTTTTTTTTTAACAAATGATATCGAAAATAGAATTTTAAATATGTTATAGACTAGAGTTTTGTAATCAATTTTATTAACAGATACTTTCTTAACGGTTTTGGCTCTAATAACAGTTTTAACGCAGCAAATTGTAATAATTCATTTTCGCCGAAACGATTTTTTTTTTTTTTAATTAAACATTTACGAGTTAATTACATATTTATAAATAAAGCTCTTAAAATTAAAAAAAATAATTATTTCCCATAATTATCACACACGATCATTAGTCAAATGTTTGTCTGGCGTAATTATAACACAGTAATATAAGTCTACAAAAAGAATTTAAGACATTTAGATTTTGAGATATAATTCACTTTGCCAGACTTCTTTCCTTATCTAAAATTGCATTCCATTTTGATCTAATAATCAGTAAAATACATTTTTAATATACACACAATGATTTTTTTTTATTATAAGTCACTCAATTTCTCTTAAAATAATAGTTTTTTTTTAATTACACATGTATTTCTCTGTTATGAAATAATTTTTAGGTACATCCCTTATATCTTACAGGGGTGTCATCTTTACGTTTTTAAATGGAAACGTATATATTTAGTTAGCTTATAAAATAGAAAATTATCTAATTAGGAAAATGACAATTTATGGGCCAACATTTCAAGAGTTATTATTAATTAAAAGTATTGACTGAAGA